TTCTACCATTGTTAATATACCCGATCGTAACCGATACGACAGCAGGCCAGTAGCTCAATAGTTGGGTGTTGGACCACACAACACGGTTTCAACTCCCAGGTCATCCACACCCTGGGTTGAGTGTGGTTGACTGACAACGACTAAAAAGCGAAACAATGACAATTTCAGTCTCCCTTGTGTTAGTCAGTGGCCTATTGCATATCTTGCTTGCCTCTACGCAACTGCCTGCGGAGCTCTAGATTGAGCCCAGAGTGTGACGGTGTGAATAGGCCTGTAACGCGATCGGTTCTATGCTTTAATTGTGTTCACTTATCCCAGTATGGGGCTCATCTTCATCCCGCTGTGCCTTTGGATCTCAACCCAGGGCCCAGTAGCAGGGCTTCTTCGCAGTCATTCGTACAAGGAATGGAATTATGGGCAGCAAAATGAGTACTAGCGAAGACAGAGGAGGCTGGTATGGGCGATCTGGAATAGCACCTTTACTGCAATCACGTTTACTGCTCGAGTAACGGGATATGCTGATTACATTGCGTCCTGGGACTCAGTCTAGAGCAGTCGCATAGTCGTGTTTAATCTGCAGAATAAGCGTTGTATTTAGTACCGCTCGGTGACAAAAGAGCGCTCGTTCGAATTCCGTTTCTGCTAATGTTTCTGATGAAGAATCCGCGACGGATGTCGAAACGTCAGGCGAATAAAGGTCTTGTCCCAGCAATCGTATCTTCTTCTTATCGCTTACTTCTTAGGACTCACGTGTTCGCTTGTATTAGGAATTCCAGATAATAAACAGCTGGGGGCTAGGTAATGCTGGCTGAGGACGGTTACTGAGCCAGAAATGGTTATCCTAGTTTTCCTTGTCTTCGCCGCATATGCTTACATGTATGGGGATACTGATGCCAAAATGTGTTTACTTAAACCCATTTCCCTTCCCCACAGAATGGTCTCACACCCTTGCACCTGGCTGCCCAAGAGGATCGCGTCAATGTGGCCCAACAACTGGTCGCCGCCGGAGCTGACATCTCCGCGGTAAGTGTTGCCGGCTACATGCCCCTCCATACGGCCTGTCATTTTGGTCGCCTCAATATGGTGCGTTACCTGCTGAGCCTGGCCGGCCGTGGCGACGTTAATCGCACCACCAAGATGGGCTGTACTCCGCTTCACCTGGCCGCTCAACAGGGCCACTCGCAAATTGCCCACCTCCTGCTGGAACATGGCGCTGATGCCAATCTCACAAACGAGGTGAGCTATTTGGAGCCTTGTTATGGACTTCTAGTCTCTTTCCGACCTCCCCTTATTTCCCTGCCCTCTCATGTTCTCCGTTCTAGGTTTCTTCCGTATATTACTACTACTG